GGGCAATTTCCCGAGTAGGCTCTTTTTCCTCGCTTTCAATTCGAATCTCAGGACGGGCGTATATTGAGTGCCGGTTCGATTCGGTTCGATTTGATATCGAGGAAATGCACATTTGCAAACAATCTTTAAGATTGAAGATTAATCAACGCTTTCTATAAAATAATTCCATGTCAAATTACCGGTCGTTACGATATACACACACATATAAACGCATATTATGAGTCTGAATAGACTCTTTGATCAAACGATGCTGCCTGAGTTTGATTACTCTTCGAGTCTGAATAGACTTCGCATAAAGTCTGAAGATGCCGAATATCTTGACTATATCCATGTGCAAGCTTTAGTGATACCCTCATATAGCTCTAATGATATCCATGGCATACACTTATGATGTCCACGAAGTAAATACATAGAATTTTAGGCGCAATATCCAAATGACAATAACTAGAGTTCGAACATTGTTTCTTCGTGATTATCATTTGAAAATACTTTCATTAGATTCAATAGTCAGTGTGAAAGATTTTGTCAATCTTCAAAACATATAAGAAAATTTTTCTCAACACTGTAGACGATATTAAGAGCAGCAAAACCGTATTTTGTAGTGAAACTATGCCGTGAAATATTGAATTTATATCATTTGTGTTTGGACAATTTACCAAAAGCTATCCTCATATGCGACAGTTGTAATGTGTTTGGCAAACAAGTTGCCACACTTCTTTTTTCACAAGTTGAAGTTGTCATCAAAAGTTATACCGACCAACCTCCCGATGTCATTTGATTCGATTTGAACGGCAAGAAAAATCACACTCTAATGAGTTTACCCTTGATTACTATTGAGGGGGTTGACCTAGTAATAGAGTCGTCAATCGTCTTTCACAAGGTCACAAATTTGATTCTCGCCGCGAGCAAACCTCTGAATAGCTTTGAGTTGCGTGCGTTGCATAGTCAAACTAGCGCCTTGGTAGGCCGCAGTGATTAGCTTGCCAATCTCGAAACTTGGGTTCACAAGTGCGGAATAATTAGCTAATGCGGGCTAATTATGAAGGCGTATCAAGAGAATCGCTAAAGCTAATTGCCCCTCTCCCTTCTTTTAGTTTATCATAAAGAAAGAAAATACACATGCTCACCCTTGATCTAGGAAGAGAAGAGGTATCATAAGTTCATAAATCTTAATGATCCATATAATTATTGCAAATCATCATACTTTTAAAAATTATAAATATTCAGTTTGTTTGCTAACCACCTTTTTAGAATTTTTGTCAGGGTACTATTGCAAAAAGGATTATATTTAAGATCCTAAATCAAAAGTAGCGGGGCCAATACCTCAAGTCTAATCACAAAAATTCGCCGCATTGACAAGATTGGCGAGGTATTTAATTAAACCGATATTGGGATGAAGTCGTTCTTCAAAAGAGCTTTCGGCGTTGGCAACATCAATATTGAGATCAGATCCAGGCCTCACGATAGGTCGAAAATTCTCCTCGTAAATCTTCAAAATTGACATTAATAAAGGCGCGAATAGATAGATGAGATCTTCCTCTCTTTTCATTTGTTTCTTTTGGCAATTTAAGAACAAAAAACTCTTGGCCACCCATTTAAAGGGCAACTTGGTGAGAGATAGAATGCCAGATGCATTCCCCTCCAACCCAAAGATAAGTTTCTACGCAATGGTCAACAAAGTCATCATCAAGCCCCTCCCCCACGCCCATCGAACAAGACACAGGGTCATCATCACCTCACCATCCACTTCATATCTTTTCCACCGCCTTTTCTCCTACTTTTTCTTCTCTTAATGTGCAATTTTGTTGCGAAGATTTAAGTAAGCTTAAAGATCATTCCGTGCACTCGTCGATCCACGTTAAACTCGTGGGTCGAGCACTCGAGACCGCGAGAAGCCCTCGTGAATTTCGAGCTCCCCCGATGTTTAAGAACGAGGAAACGAGAAGTCCCGATGAAATCTTCCCGGTAAATGTTAGGTGAAGTGGCGGTTTTTATCGAGCGGTCGAAGCAAGCGGGACGAACGATCATAAAAAGAGGCTTTTATCCTCGTGTTTAGCCGGGGTCGGGGGGGTGAAATGTCGACCGTTTTCCATGCCGTTCTTGAAGCTCTTTGGTCGTAAAAAGGCTCCTCGTCCGTCCGTGAAAGGTTGGAAGGGTCATATAAAGAGGCCGCACGCCAAATGAACTCCTGGACAGGTTTGACTATCGTCAATCAAAAGTGGAGCAGAAGTTTTAATATGGTTTGATTGAATGCCGTGCGCACGTTTAGCTTCTTTGGACATTTTCAAATGCCCGATCTAGCTCGCGACCTTCGGACATTTATAATCGACATTCACCATGATAGTGTTTCCATGTAATCTTGCGTGAAACATGATACTTGCATCGTCGGTTTAGGTCAGTTTGGAGTAATTCTTATTTTTATTTTTTGAATATTTTGATTGATGGACTTTGATCTGTTTTTTTTGGTTCACAAGTTTTTGACTCGGATTGGAAGAGGTCGAGCAAAAATCGGTGGAGATAAAATTTGCTAAGCATTGAAGGCTCTTAGTCGGTAAATACAGCTAGTCGATCAGATGAACGGTTTTAGCCGGCGGGAGATATAAAAGGAAATAATTAAGCTCTGGACCGTGGGGGTCGGTAAATGAGATTCGACTAACACGATCTGCGATGAACTGGATACAAAGTATTTATTTAAGTCAGGGGCCTGATAATTTCCGATGCAACCATTAAGTCTCATAAAAAATGAAGATCAACTTAGCTATGAATAAGTGAAATCGACACGATCGTCAGATCCGGTAGCCATAGATCTCGGATGCAATAAATGATAGAAGCCGATAAATGCGGGCTACTGCAACCGTCAAATTGGGGAACGAGGAACTTCAAAGGTGACCGGTTACGCTGGGTGTGGTAGAGTGGAGAAGGTACAACCATTGAGTAGTAGAGTTGTCTAAGTGTTGAATAATCGTTTGTAAATATAAGTTGCTAAATCCTAGGAGTCACGTAGGATGTATTTGATTTCTCTGTAACCGTTTTTAACTGTCGGTAGTGGGTATAAATACTTAAAAAATATAGTTCATGCAAAAGATCGCCGATCAGTCAATGAACACCGGTTGCTCAATATTACGTACAATTTATCTTTATATTTCAGAAACATTTTACGTGTCGGGAGTAGATGGACTCTGGTCTCTGTACTTCAAATTTTCTCATCGATTTAAATCTCTTGTCGATGAATCAGCGATGACCCTTCGCATCCTTTTGTCGATAGATTCATCGGTCAATACATTCGAAAGTATTTCGTAGACACTTTTTAGCAAAACATTTTCATATGGAGCGCCCGGAATAATTCAAGACGTGCAAATTCATCGTATTGATCCACGTATCAATTTGTCACGACTTTCAAAAACTTGCATAATATTTTGAAGTTTCTACGAGAAAGTCAATAAATAATTTGAAAGCACAAAAGTCAAGCACATACACTTTGAACGATTGTAAAAAATTTGTTTGCAAGTGAGATAATTGTCTCTTCAACACAGCCGCGCCGTTCTTCAAATGCATTGGTCGCTTGGTAGCACCGGCGAGAGGGGATTCAACCCTGACAAATGCGAAGCGGTGGAGGACAGTTGGGACAGGAGGGTCTGCTTCTTAAGATAGCTGCCATCAATGAGAAGATAAATGCTATTGACTGCTTCACTTCCCGAGAGGGACAAAGAAGGAAGCAACCATTTCACCGGTTGTCGAAAGAAGACTACAGTAGGTCTTGGTGCTTGAGTCAAGTCCAAGGTCTACAGTGGATTAGATAGAATTGACAGCTGCTCTTGCTCCCGTTCAACTGCTAAGAAGGAAAGCTTTTCTTTTCTCTAGATCAAATGCGACCCACAAAGATGAAACTTCTCCCAAGGGGCAATTCAGCCTTAATAGTGAAGCTATCTCATTAAATAGATCACGCTACGCGTATGTTATCTATGATAAGGACATACCTGTCTCTAGATAGCGAAAGTTCAAGTTCGATCGCTCTTTTAAGAAAGGAAGTTCCGATTTGATTAGTCATCCTATCATAACTAAACGAGTGATAGATCCCGAGTGCCGCGTAAATGACTCTTGGAGAGCATCTAGGAATAGGAATTGATATGAACTTAGTCAATATTGGTAAGGAGGTCTGTTCTCTCTCCTCCTTGTGGTATGATAGAGAGACCATGAAACGGACAACCACCGACGGCGTGAAACCCAAGCCTCATTATACAAATAATATCCTAGGCACATTACTTTCAATGATAACAATAATAATGATAGATGATGAGTTTGCTTATTTTTTCGATGTACCATAATAATTTAATAGGTCATGCATGTATAAAACGAGAAATAAAAAAGAATATTTTCAATCGGGTGCTCTTGCAAATGCAACTCGACATTCGACACTTCCAAATCAAAGACACGATCGGAAAAAAATAAAATATTCGCGAAATTAATGATCACGCGATCGATTTCTCTTTGGAAATTTCTTCACCACGCTGTGGACGAAATTATTGACATGCGCGAGCGCGGCGATTTACGTGGAAAATTAACCGAAATCTCAATTTATGTCAGAAATAGAAATAGGGGGAAGTCAAATATTTCATAAGGAATGGGACGGTCCAGATTCCGTGCGAAGTTAGGTCGACCACCGAGGCACGGACGGTCCGGATCTCGCGCGGAAATTAGGTCGCCCCCAACACGAAGTGGCGGCAAGCAAAGCACGCGAGGGGGCCCCCAAACTCGCGCTCGTGGCCGCGAGATGGGAAGGCGGCCCGGGCGATTACCAGCCGTCAGATCCGCCCCGGTTGTGTCGCAGCGCCACGTCACGTCCACGGGGTCGTCCTCGTAATCTCCTCCTACCCTTCCCTTGCATCGGCGACGCGTTCGCATGTGCTATAAATAGGGGCCGCCGCGTAGGTCAAAGCTTTCTCTTTCTATACACCAGAAGAAGAAGAAGAAGCTGCTGCTGCTGCTGCTGCTGCTGCTGCGTCGTCTGCGTCTGCGTCTCGTCGTTGTTGAAGAGGGAGAAAGGGCGGAAGCGATTCCCGGGAAGAGAGCATCTCGTCGAGGATCCAAGAAGGGAGAGGGTGAGCTCTGGATTCTTCCTCCCTCCTCCTCCGACGCCTGCGCCGGTTCGTATGCGCTTCGGCCTTCGGGTACGCTCCCCCTCCCTCGCTCTCGATCCCGTTTGGATTGTGCGCGGATCATCGTCGCTTACCGGGGGAAGTGGGGGAGGGGGGGGGGGGGGGGGGGTTGGGTGCGTTTCGTCGCGGCGTGATTATTGAGGAATTCGTCCGGGGTTTTTTGAGGGGGGCTGAGGTTCTCCGTTTCGATTCGAATTGGTTGCGCGGTTCGCAAGTTTTGTTTTTTCTTGCTTTTTTTGTTTTCGCGATGTTTTTGCGCGGGGGGTGTTCGGAACGATTCGTGAGTTGGGGGCGCTTGGATTTTTGATGATTTCGTTCGTTGGTTTCCGTCGTTGATTACGATTGCGCGAGCTTTCGAGGCGGGACGGGCTAGGTTTTGGTTCTCCCCTGTTTGATTTAGGGTTTTCCTGCGCGGGGGTAATGTTCCGAGGTGGTTTTTTTTCCCCCCTTTTCCTGAGACGTCGGCTGATTTCTATCCCGTAGAGGCAGGTGATATTGCGGTAGTTATCGCTCCTTGTGAATTAGTGTTGTGATGTTTGCGCGGTTTGGAATGATTCAGGAGTCGGGGCGCTTGAATTTTTGATAATTTTGTCCGTTGGTTTCCGTCATTTATTACAATTGCTAGCTTTCAAGGCGGGATGGGTAAGGTTTTGGTTCTCTCCTGTTAAATTTAGGGTTTTGCTACCTAAGGGTTTGTTCCGAGGTGATTTTTTTCCCCCTTTTTCTAGGACGTCAGCTGATTTATATACGGTAGAGGCAGGTGATATCGCGGTAGTTATCACTCCTTGCGAATTAGTGTTGGGCTTGGTTTGGTATTTATTAACTTGCCTTGTTCTATTATTCTCTTTCTAACATGGTATATAACCTTAGACCAAGCGCAAAATCGAAGATAATCGGGAAATAAATGAAGGGCCTGCAAACTCAATTAGTGGATCTTTTACTCTTTTACCGTGGAGAAGTGTTTTAATCCAGTAGATGGAGGCGTGGCTTCTATTTAAACTTCGTGTTGTTTCGAGCGAAAGATTTTAGTTTCTTATCTTTAGCTTATCTCTGGTAAGCCTTAGATGTGATGAAGCCAGTTGATGGATGTTTGTTTATGATCTGCTTTCCTGCATATGATAAAATCTCTCATGTGGTTAGTTGTTTTTGGTAATGGTTGTCAGGTTTCTGAGGATCTGGTTTTAAGGCGCATTTTATTTTCTAAGATATGGAGCAAGCCTGCCTTTGGTCAACCTGCGATCAGTCTCGTCTCTTTTCATTTTGGGAAGTGTTCGATTGGCGTTTTCTTATGCTTGGTGACTTTCTTCTGGTTTCCTTCGTCAATTGCACTTAGTGGTCGCCTTCTGTGAATGATCACTGCTGGGGGCGTAATGCAAGCTGTGATTTATCCTGGATCTTTAATGCACTTGGTAGTGCATCAACAGGCCATCAAGTGAAAATTTCCGGGAGAACATCTTCAGAGGTAGAAGCAATCGTGTGAATTGTTTCCCATACTGTCTCCGTTTATGTCCAATTTTCAGTAACTGGTCAATTTCTATGTGGCTTTACTTCTTTTAACCCCATTAGTGACATTATTACAGGGTTGAAGTCTGCTACTGCATATCTGAAGTTGAAGTTTGGCGGATATTGAGATATTGAGTATAGGCTTTGCTTATTTAGCACTTAGATACGTCATCTGAAGTTTCCCTTTGTGGCAAACGGCTAGAGTGACGAGGAAGCTGTTAATTGGAGATTGAAGGGGATCCTGACACCTCAGCTGCTGCTTGTATCCCTGAGGCTGTCTCTTTGTTAAGTTTGTTGTCGCTATCAACATGATTCTCGCTCATCGTCTTTTCTTACCGCGGGTGCCAATCTGTGATCAACAATCCATGGCTCCAACGGTGAGGAAAGTTGAGAAACCTATCCATCAGCACATTCAGCTCATGCTTTCTCACATCAGCTTATAGAAATTTAACGGATGATTCAGCTGGGACCCAGGCTTTGGTGCTTTTATTAGTATTTGGAGGTGTTCAGCACGAGACATCCACTGAAGTAAATGTTATATTTCATTTTTAGTTCCTTTTGTTTTCTTGAATAAAGAAAGAGCCTTGTTGCACTGGAGTTGCTGTTACAATGGAGAGGTGAGTTTTTCTTCTGTTACTATTGTAGACCGAAGGTTTTGCAATTTGACTTAATGTGACCACCCTGTTGACTTCTGTAGGTACGACTTACTTAAAGAAGTAGGTGATGGAACATTTGGGAATGTTTGGCGAGCTATTAATAAGCATACTGGAGAAGTTGTAAGTTGTTCATGACTCGGCTGGAACTGCAATTTTTCCATATATTTGGTGCTGTTACTATGCTTCTGCATCCGTAAATGTACTTAGTCAATCTTTAACCTTAACAGGTTGCGATTAAGAAAATGAAGAAGAAATACTATTCTTGGGAGGAGTGCATGAACCTGAGAGAAGTGAAGGTACTAGAAATTAGTTTTCTTTTTGTGTTTTCTCTATCATATAATTTTGTGGTTATGTGTTGATTGTAGTGGTTGTGTTGTGGCAGTCATTGCGAAAAATGAATCATCCTAGTATTGTGAAGCTTAAAGAACTCATCCGGGAGAATGATATCTTGTATTTTGTGTTTGAGTACATGGTAAGTAGCGTGGCATTATTCCTTTTGTGGTCTTTTGGAATTCATTGGCTGATGTTGTCTTCTTTTGTCAGGAGTGCAACCTGTACCAGCTCATGAAGGACAGAGAGAAGCTCTTCTCGGAGGCTGAAATAAGAAATTGGTTCTTTCAAGTGTTTCAAGGTCTTGCTTATATGCATCATCATGGGTATTTCCACCGTGATTTGAAGCCAGGTAAATCATGCTTACTAGGGAGTTAAAAGTCACGATCAGCTTATCAGTCCCCAGCTTTATTTACTGGAATTTTTTGGGTGGTTTCTTTAGTCTCTGTCTGATCATAAAGATCGCAAATGCCGCTATAGGTTTCTTTTTGGCTGGCTTGTGTTTAAGTCTTATGCCAGTTTCTCTTTTGCAGAGAACTTGTTGATTACCAAAGACACAGTGAAAATCGCCGATTTCGGTCTTGCTCGTGAGATAAATTCGGATCCACCATACACTGAATATGTCTCAACACGCTGGTGGGTTGTTTCTCCGCTATGTGATCTCTGACTGATTCACTCCGCTTTTGTCTCAACACTATGATAAATCTTAAACATAAATACAGGTACCGAGCGCCAGAAGTGCTGCTTCATTCACACTTTTATGGTTCTAAAGTTGGTAAGGGTCCCAGAAGAAAAAAATAGATGTCTTCTGACTTAGCATTTGTACATACCTTTTAGACTCTCTGAGATTTTGATGTTCCTATAGATATGTGGGCTATGGGTGCTATTATGGCTGAAATGTTCACACTGCGCCCGCTCTTCCCTGGCATCAGGTATATGATCTTTTGCTAAGGCATATCCGTTACTTTTCCCGTCTCACTTACCGTCCGATCAATATTTATCTATTTTCCGTTTGTATTATGTCAAATCTAATGTTTTCTCATGATCCTCATGTTTATTTCTGGGTTGAAGTTTCTCTTCTAGTTCTTTGTTGGAAATTCAGTGTTTGACGAACTTCCTTGCTTGCCTGCTTTGCAGTGAAGCGGATGAAGTTTTTAAAATATGTGGTGTGATGGGGAGTCCTACTTGGGAGTCGTGGGCTGAGGGTCTTCATCTTGCTAGGGCCATTAATTATCAATTCCCACAGGTATCTTTACAAGTTTTACCTGCTTGGTCAGTGTTTTTTCCCCTCAGCAGGTATAATCTGACTCAGCTATTCTGCGATGTAGTTTCCTGGTGTGAATTTATCCAGAATGATACCATCTGCCAGTGTGGATGCAATCAATCTCATTAGGGTGAGCACCATTGATATGACATATTGCTTACTCTAGATTCGATCATAACATTTTATTGTGAAATGCAGTCCCTCTGTTCATGGGATCCACTCCAGAGGCCAGAAGCAGCAGAGGCCCTTCAGCATCCTTTCTTTCAGGTGAAGCTTTTATGCTTTTCCTGAATTTTTGTTGTTAAATTTATGATACATAAAGGGAGCTCTTTTGGTATATTCGTTCATTGTTTATATTTTCTGTGCCAGAGTTGCTACTACATTCCTCCTGCCCTCCGATCGAGATTAACTGCCAATCGGACCCCTCCACCTGGTTGTCTTCTTATCTAGACTTTGCTTTTTATCATCAATCATCAGCTTGAAGTTAATTTGTCGTGTTTCGCTGCAGTAGGAACAAGAGGCTCTTTGGAGGTGCAAAACGGCAGAAGGTATCCTGGGGTGTTGGATAATCGAAAGCTTGGCAGCAACAATTCATCACCAAGAGCGGTGGCTCTGAAGACAGGTAGCATGAAATAAATTACTGGTTATTTGAAGTGATTATCAATATATGAGCACTATGGATATTAAATTGCCAAGCGAAGAGAAGTGTAATCATTTGTACTTTTACAGGTGCTCAGCGGAAGCTTAATATTGTAAATCAGGTGAGAAGTTCTTGTGCCTTTCCTATTAAAAAAATATTAAGTATCATGGTTAAAACTATTCAACATGTTGGGTAGCTAATGAAGTAAATTGTTTGGGCGTGCAATTGGTAAACATTTTTTAAATTATTGACTATGGATATCATACATGCTCATGACCATTTAAGGTAAGGTCCTCGTGTGGTTTTTACCTTGGGCTTTTGGGCCTAGGTAATGTAACATACGTGCTCATGGCTATTTAATAATAGTTGCTTCCATCTGTCGTAATTTATTATTAATGTATCACTATTATCGCATGTCTAGAAGTACTAAACAGTTTTGTTTTGTTCCATAAGGATTCCAACAAGGTTGGGCCATATTCAAATTCCTCTGTCAAACAGTCAAGATTTCAACCATCGGGAAGCAGCAGCCCAAGTAAGTCTTATTTCTTTATGGGGTAATGACACTGTAAGTATTTGGACTTTTGCCTTTTGTTTATTCAATTGAGTATGTGAACTTTCCAAATTTAGCTCAAAGTGAGGCCTTCGTTAAATATATCACCATGTCATGTGCTGGCGTGGCTCATTTCCCAAACAAAAGTTAAGTACAATTGACGACATTGGCTTGCTTGCTTATGAAAAATTGTGCCATTTCCTTTGAGACATCGAGTGGTGAGGAGAAAGAGTATGTTTGCTGTGACGATTTTAGTCATCTGATTTGTTGACGTGGCAATTTTTTAAGAGGCCACATTGGATGTCAATACGAACAGTTGATTGTCATTTGACGGCATTAGTGACCACGTTGACATTTTCCGCGATTTTAATGGACGACCCTCATTTGAAAAAGGCACTTGATTAAACTTAAAATATAGTTTTAGGTATCCAATTTGGAGAATGGGTAAAACTTCAGGTACTTGCGCTTGATTAAACTTAGAAAAAAGTTTAGGTATCCAATTTGGAGAATGGGTAAAAATTCAGGTACTTGCGGTGTGTCATTGTTCCTTTCCTTTTTGTGTTGTTTCTATGAGGGAGGTTTCCTGGATGTCTTACGCACACTTAAACTTCTTGTTCATTCATTGCGCGTAAGCCAAATCTCTATACCTCTAAAATGAGAATCTAAAATGAAATCTCTTAACTTATATAAGCTCATTGTGAGCGCGTATATAAGATGCTCTGAATCAGAAAAGTATGACTTATCCACCCAAGGTCCTAGACTCCACCCACGATCGATGGCTTCGGATTCTGGAGAATGTTCATGAGATTTCATTTATTTAGTCATTTATTACTCGTTAACAAATGATGCTTCTTAATGTTGCAGCTTCTGTGATAAAGGGTCCAATGTCTAGAGAAGTGGCTGATGTGAGTGAAAAGTTGGCAGATATGAGCTTTGGTGCTCGCAAAGGTCTGGTGATGCAGCAACAGCCGCCACCTCTGAAGGCCGGCGGATGGCGTGATGGACCGGTTCACGCCTATTATGGACAACGCCAGGGACAGTGGATCCAACCTGGCCGAGGCTATAACCGCAAAGTTGCGGGATGAATGTGCAGGGTGCCCTTTTCCGTCCTTCCTGTCTGAGAATAAGATCAAACTTGCAGTACTCTGTTTGTGGTGTTTCGTGTTCTGACATATATTTCTTTAGTAACTCTGTTTTCTTGTAATGTCCCGGTGATCTGGAGGTGTTCTATTTGTTGAAATAAATGGCTCTTGGCATATATGCTTGATCAGTGCTGCTGTTGCCTATTTGTTTGGTTCCCGTCGTATTGCGATTTGGAAGCGAAGGCGTGCCAAGTAGGAAGGAATTTGAATCGACCAATGCTTCATTAGCATGCATATCGCGGGAATTCGAAAATCATTCTACGAGGAAAGAAGAGATACTGGCTTCTTTGATGAAAGGTTATTGAGATTCTTGCGACTTTGCCAGTCAGGAAAGACAATTCAGGACAATAGAACATTGTCCTTATAAGTAGTGCCAAACCATACAGCAACTGTAAAGTTCAATCCTGTAAACTCTCTCTCTCTCTCTCTCTCTACAGAAACGGAATAATTTCAATTTTACAGAAGCCTCCACGCAAACTATGAGGAATCTCACTATACACGAGAACACACAAATTACGAACTTGGGAAGAAACCACACTTTTCCTTATTGAAAAAGAAAGTCATTTGCATCTTTTGTTTATGGACCACCTTTGGCATCATCACATTCCACACAATCCAAGCAATAACCATAGAAATGGGAACTCACACCAGTCACCCTCCTTTCACTTTTGTTGCGTTCACAAGAAGAGGTAAACATGATAAAAAAGAGGACAGTGACATTGCAGCATGTCACCCTACTGCAAAAATAAAAGAAAAAATTCATTGGAATACACCTCTCGCATTTGAGTAACTCCGGCAGTTTTCAACTAGTGTGGAAACAAAGGAGAAGCAGGGGCGGAAAGAGGACTAAAGAATGACAATCACAAATTAAAGTACGAAAACGAAAGAGGAAAAAAAAAATACATCTTCAGCCTATGGGACAATATACTTGTATGAGAAGGCTCACTAAACCAGAATCAGGTATTATTCGTCACTGTTCATCGCTTGAAAGAATTTGAATGCAGGAATTCCTGAACCCTTGTTGGGTTCTTTTGACTGATCTCCTTGTGTGTCTGATCCAGGATTGAAACTCTCAATTGTCTATACTTCTATTCGGCAATTTTGTTGTACATGAAGTGTGTGTCTTCCTTCACTTTTCACCGCGAACTCTTGCTCAACGGATACCAAAGCTTCTTTTGGCAGACCAATAGTTTCTCTTTCTCGACGCCGTACTCGGTGTCTTCTTTGTGACACCCCCATCTCATCCCCTTTGCGATGGTTGCGATCGCGTCGATGAAGTAGCTAGACTCCCGCATCATTACATACCCGTTCGGACGGAGGATTCGGTCCATCTCCAAGAGAACAAATTTCATATCACATCTGCCAAAATTCCAACAACTCCATTCTCAGGAAATATAAATTTGAGTTCTTAAAGGTACTTGTTTTATTATATAGGCGAAACCGGTTCGGCCATGTTCGGGTCAATTAGAAAAGCACGCCATAATAACGGTGTCATCATCTAAAGTGCTTCCACTAAGCAAAGAAGCTAGAGAAGACGCCAATTATTAAAAACACACTCACGGTGATAAGAAAATTTGAAATGGAAGACAGCCGGTAATACCTGTGGCCCTCAGCAGTGAAGAGACCATCGAGGTGAAGAAGGTCATATGTTCGAGGATATGTTGAGAACGCCTCACACCTACCAAAAGAGGCAAAGCAAACAGATAAACATTGCAATGATCAAATGCAATTAAAGTTGTAGTTGGAGATCCTACGAACAAAAATCAACTCGTTGAAGTTACCAGTCATGGTATGTTCCAATAAGCCCACGATCATAAACGACGGCAAGAGTATTGGCACCATAGGACGAGACGACATTCATAACCCATAGGGGATCATCAATCAGAGCAGCCGCGAAACCTCCATAGACAGTGTTCATATCCATGACGTTTCTAATTTTATCAGTCCCAAGTGCAGGCAGTACTTTCTTGTAGTGCTTCGCCCGCACCTTCCACTTACTATCATCATGCTTGAAAGCACTCGCGCTTCCTCTGTGTATTTGTGACATGCGCTCGGGTGCAATGTGCAGTCGCTCAGGCCACTTGGGGACAGATTTGAGACCGATCTTCTTGAGCTTGGGATCCGGAACAACCACGCAAGGGCGGAGCGGAGTATACCAAGCGGAGTCCGGCTCGAGGCTGTCGTCGCATTTCGGTGGGTAGGCGTCGGGTTTTGTGAGGCGGTTGTAGCAACTGCTGTTCGATGTTTTCTGCCACACAGCAATGTCGTCCTTCTTGTTATACAGCTTGAAGCACATTGAGGTGAGCAGCTTCTGCAGCCCGTCATAATCTGACTTCTGTTCCTCCACAGTAGTGTTCCATCCACGCCAGCGGTTTTGGTAGTTGACTGGTGGTCCTGAGAGGACCCAGAAACCTCCGGGCCGCAGTATCCGGTTGATTTCTAGGAGGTATAATCCGCCTGTGACCAATGCACTTTCATAAGTTAGACAAGAAAGATTTTATACCCCCCACATCCCATTATTCCTGGTATTTAGATTCAACGCATCAGGAAAGGAAGTTACCGAATTCCGTCCATGGGATAAGACATCTTGAGCAGTGGGCCATATCGAATGAGTTAGATGGGAAAGGTAGCCTCTGCGTGGAGATGATGCCTAGTATTGCCGGAATCCCCCGTTCCAAGGCAAATTGGACTTGAGCTTCGTGATTATCTCGAGGGGCAAGAGAAACCGTTAATATCCCACGATCCAACAAATCGCCTCCCCAGCTCGCAACCTTTAACAATGTCAAGATATCGTAGGCATCAGCTAAAACTGCCACTAGAACTGTAAGTGCCGAATCTATTAAATCACAGAAGCATCTGCACATCTCAGAAATGCTAATGAAAAAAAGTACACAATTCTTTTCCACTTCAAGAGTTAGTACAAACTCACCCCACAACCTGTGTCGATGGCAGTTCGAACCGTGCCATCTTTCATACCAGGGATCAGATTTTGCATCAAATCGAGGTATGCACTCACACCATTGGGAAACATAGTACCACCACCAGGAAAAATAAACTTCTCTCCTTGCTTTCTCAGCCAGTTCTGGTTTGATTTCTTCTTGTTGATCCAATCATATGGCACGTTCCTATGTCCCGATCCAAATATTCATTTTCACTTTCATGTTGTGAATTCCAGAAATTTCTGTTCTCTAGCATGACTGAGGAAACAGAATTACCTGTACCAACATTCGTCCCTGCTCTTTGGCCATTTGATCGGCGGCTTGTACCCTTCCGGGGGCGGGACCAAGCATTCCTTTCTCTCGAAAACCGCTGGGCAGTGGCGCTCCATGAAAGTCAGACGATGCATGCCATACTTCCTCCACCTCTGTACCCAAAAGAAGAAGACCATATATCTCAGATTCGTTCTGTTAAGATCATATCATAACGAACTACATGGTCCACTCTTACCTTAGGATCCGTGCAGGGAGTGTAGTCTTGGTAGTCTAAGCTACACTCAGGGAAAGTGACAAACTTCATCTGAAGTGGAGCAACTGTCGATTCTTTAGGAGAAGGGACGGCCTTAGCAATGTCCTTGACATTCTTTACCTCGAATTTGTTCTTCTCAGCACAGTAAATACCTCCCAGATAAAATGACAAGCCACATAAGGCAACGAGCAAAGTCGTCATCGGAAGAACTCTAGATCGCTTGTCTTGTAAGGACCCTAGTTTTCCATCCTTATGCTTCGTCATCCTACTGTTATTAAATTACAACTCTCTGCACAGATCAGATGTGGCTTTTCAAGTCAAATTCCTAACACGATACATCTGAAAGCTACTTGTAGCTTACTTCACGATGAACTTTTCACCACGCTTAGATAAATGAATTTCTGTGAAAGCCCACTGATCAGACAAATGATATTCAAACTAGTTCTGCAGTATAATGTCAATGACTCCGTTGTCTTATGACACTCATTGTTCGCAAAGCAAGATATTGAGCACGAAATGCCAATTGCAAATGCAATAATCTGAATAGTTTCGATACATTAAATTAAAGAAGTATAGTCCCTAAGTTTCCAGTCAAGACAGAATTGCATTTAAGAACATAATTCATAGAGAAAAGAGACAACGAGCATTTTTAGATCTTTCATCAAAGAGAACCCATAGATCAACCTCAAAAGATGAAAAATCAATAATGCATTGTCAATGAAAGCGAGTGATCATTGGAAGAGGTTTAGGTGAGCATGATTGTAGGACTCAAATCAAGTCTCTAGGACTAGTGGCTATCTGCAACAGTATCCATTTTAGCATAAAAGACAAATCAGTGTTAAAAAGGATCTAAGAAAAATAGTTAAATATACCAGATCTAGTGTTATCAGCGGTCAATACTCTAATGCCGACTTCATGAGAGGGACTCGCAAAATCCTCTGAAGCTCACAAGACATGACAGTAACTTCATACAAATAAAAAAATTTCATGTCACTTTCCCTTTTTCTCACGTGACAATGGGCCCAAGCTCAACAAACACAGCCGACCTAATAACATTAATAGGAGGACCTCTCTCTCTCTCTCTCTCTCTCTCTCTCTCTCTCTCTGAGAAGCCCCACTAGGTTAAAAAGGCAAAAAGAAGCCATGGATAATCAAGAAAAGCAAACCAATTGGACACGCTTCGTGTGATTTCATAATTCCTTGAGAGGAGAGGCATTTCCAATTCAGCTGTCGGCAATATCGACATCGATGTTCTCTCTTCAGAATAATTGTTGACTTTCAACAAGAAAAACTGACAATTAAAAGAGAACAGACAATGAGAGGAAAAGCAAGAACTTCAAAGATCTTAATTGAAATGGTCGCCCACCAAAGTATATAGCGTCACATCCACCTGAGTTTGACTAAAGCAGAGCCTAATTAGCAAACCAAGATCCGAAGAAGAAACGAAAAGAATGCAGAGTACAATTGAAGTGATAGTACTCTGTTGCCGAGGGGCATCTAAATCTAAGCATACCACCCAAGAATCAGTGAAATCTGCGACCTCCCATCCTGTCCTTGCTCATACAAAATCTAACTGTGATAAGCAAGGACCGGTCAACTGAATTTGCGGAGCTAGGATCAAGAAGAGAACAAGAAATGAACTTCGCACCCAGGAACAATCAGATCCTATGCGAATTACTTCTGAAGAAAACGGAGAAGACCGAAATGGACAAAGTGGGGTCAAATGCTAATGGGATCTGAGTTACGCGCGACAGAGGAGAGAAGAGAAGCAAGTACCAAGGAATGAAATGAACAGTGCCGAAACAGAACAAGAAGAAGAGTCAGGAGGAGTCTACGTGTTTCAAGAAAGTACCCACTCGACTCTGAAGAGAGACAGAGGAGAGTCTTGGACACCTCTCTGCTTCAAATCTAGGGAGACCCAGATGCAGAGCAGCCACCACTTGTGGGGTCTCAGGTCTCAAAGGATGTAGAGACAGAGAGAGACACACCCACACAGAGATAGAGATGAGGAATGAAGATGAGCTCCTAGGACTCACAGCCACAGGGATATAAGCATTAACATTAACATCTCTCTCTCTCTCTCTCTCTCTCTCTCTTTTCTCGCCCTCTGCCTCGCTGTGTCGCCCCTGTTTCTCTCTCTCTCTCTCTCTCCTCTTATGGCAAGCGCTTTGCTCACCGTCCTGGTGGGTCTTTAGCTTTTCTTCTGAGAGATTTTATTACTGGCTTTTTGGTTCTTTCTGCGCCTTTTTCACTGTCTTCTCCAGGAGTCGTCATCATCAGGTAAAAAGCGACAGACCCTCCATTGATTTCCACCGTGGAGGAGCATGATGGACCTGAATTACACGCAGACCGGACAAGAAGTTGTAATGCTTTCAAGATAAATTTAAAGTAAATAATATGAGGTAAATTTCTATCGAGGCTTTAAGTATGGAACGCTCGATGAGCATTCGCATATGTTGCATCGCTTAATATATCACTTTCATAAAACACTCGGTAAGTATCCGCATATGTTGCATCATTTAATATATCAATTCCATAAAACAATTATAATATGATCGGCATGTTTTAGATTTCAATATATCCGGTTTGTATTTTTATGGTAAGAAAAGATTTTGAAATTTTGGACTGTGTTTGGTTGCTCACACAAAAAGTTAGGTAAGATAGGATAAAGTTAGATAATACATGCTATCTCTTGCTCGAGAGAAAATTGGATGTAACTACGGAAATGGGTGTATTATTCGAAACTATTCATGGCAAACCTAGATCGATATTGGATACGTAAATCTATTGAGAAGAGGCGATGATTGCGGCAATGGTGCTGACCCTTGTCGATGGTGACTTTCACCAAAGTTCTTATTAATTAAATTTGTATGTGAATGATGTCCATATTAGACCTGATCATAAGCCTACAAGCCCAGGGGCCCGTCTAGACCCGATCCGAGCCATAAGTACCCATAAGCATTTTTAGGTCGAGTTATAGGGCCGAGCTAGGTCTTCGTGTGCGCACACATATATTTCCTGTTCATCGGTGAACCTGGACTATAATTTTCACTCGATTCTAGGGTCGTACACTATTCTGATTTGCCCATAGATCATTTCTCGTTCATTTATAAATCTAACGATCAATTGGAAATTGATAAAGTTATAGCACTAGTCATGCTCAATTTCTTTATTAAAAAAAAAACTCCACCTTGGTTCATTCTAAGAATATTTTCACCAGAATCTATGCCGGCAAAAAAGAAGACCGTTCGGACTAAACTATGGACACACCTGGTACGGCTTGAAGCCATTGATGAAATCAGACTGTGAATCTCTCTCCCTCTCTCTCTACATCATCACCTTTCCCTGTCTTCTTCCTCGAAGTTTCCTTGGCGTGGCGAGGTGAGAGATTCTCTCTGTCTCTCTTTAAACCGGACATAGTTTCAGATGGGATCAGGGAATGCCTCCCTTTCTTTTCTCTCTTGCCTTTACGCTTTTGTTCTTTTGGCCTGTTCTGATTCTGCAATTCGTATGATCGAACCCCATGAGAGAAAATTCATTGCCCTGCGCGTGTCCGTACTGTCATTCAGAGAGAGAGAGAGAGAGAGAGAGAATATTCTATGTTTGATCAAATTGGTTGGATTCATTTCATAGTTAGGTACATGAGACATCAGTTGGTTGGATTCATGTTTGCCCACGCACTTTGATTTTTTCCCCAGAAGAGACAATACCATGAAAACCCAAAGATAAACTATCAAGAAATTTCTTCACTTTCGAATCCGCCATGACAAAAAAAAGGCATAAACTCGGTTCGGAGTGCCTAGACATCGTACGTGGTGAAGGGCCAATTCGAAGTTAAAACGAAATTGCGTACACCATCCTAAACTTTCGATTCGATCCCAGTTTGAACCATCTAATAATACGAAGCTTCTAGCTTGCCTTTTTGAAGATGGCTTTCTCCTTAACATGGAAGATCACTATGTTATTTGGGACATGTTATATATTGTTGGGTTAACATGATACTTATAGCTCCCACAATAATCTGTCATCCTTAACATAAAATAACAACTCAATCAGGTGTCCACACATCTAATATGTACGGCACATGGATTAGCGATCCCCCGCATGTGGATTAAGCCGTGCATGGGAAGCGGTAATTACATCATTAAGATCACTAATCAAAGTGTACCTCCCTTAACAACAATGACAAGAAAAGAAAGAAAAAAATGCTACCTTCAATTATTACAGTACCGTGACGGTGCTGTAGAGAGAGATTATAGTAATATTAATGGCAGCAAAGACACTGAATTCAAGGGTGCACCATCTCATGGCCCTCACATGTCAATAGTCAACGCCCTCAATTTTATAACTGGAAATCCAGTCAAGAATCACGAGACTTAACATTATTCATTGAAGAGATCTCCAAGGTTGTCCTTTCGTTTCCCTACCTTGCATCGAAGGAGAGGGAGCATGTCACTGCCTCCTCCAACCATCTCTTGTTTTCCTTCCTTCTTCAACACTTGAGAATTCTCTCAATATTGTCAAAAAGAGAGAGCATGTCTTAGCCAAGCCTTCACTTAACACTAAACAAGAAAGTTGTATCCTTGAAAATGTCAAGAACTGTGAGAAAGAACTAGTTTAGTGAGACGAAAACAAGACCCGAAGGATCGACTGTTCCGAGATGGGTACTCTCGCTTTGGATTTCTGAATCGAGAACTCTGTTTTTAAAGAATGTATGGATGGATTTTGAGGCGAACTTATGTGTCCGTAGTTGGTCGAAAATATACATGGCAAAATCTTAATCCCTAGTTTGAAAATAATGGATTTATAGGGTTTGTTTTGAATCGAGATGACCTGTGGTCATTTGGGCTTGTGAACAAAGGGTTGTTGTTTTGGGTTTGTATGCACATTTGCGAAAGAGAGAGATTGTATTTAGTTTGGTGTTAATTTGTCAGGTTGCACACATTTGACTAATCATCTTAATGGCGAAAGATGGTGATCGGAGAAGATGACGGGCTCTTTCCTCCTCTTACATCCATCTCTTGTGTCTAATTTCCACATCCATTAACTAAATCATTTAGACATACCATGTATCGATCTATCGCGTAATTAAAAAGGTCACACGGTTACCATTATAGTGCTCTTGCCACCACACAAGGCTTGCTTTGCCCTCTTAATTTGGTGTTAAATTGTCATGTGACATACATCAAACCAATTCAATTGGGTGGTGACGGGAGATGGCTATGGAGGTGGTGATAGCTAGGTCCCCTTCCTCGCCCTACATCCATCTCTTGCATTTCTCTTCTCCTCCATTCATTCGATCTTCGATATATATCATGTGTCAATCTGTCGCTTAATATAAAAAAAATATATTATTTTCTCTCTCGCGCGGACACTTGTCGCAAATCGATTATTCTATGCGTACTTGATGAAGACGGAAGATGACTCCAAGAGGCATAAACATGACCCACTTGTCCTCCTTGGTAAGAAAAATCCACATTAAATAAATACCAAAAGGCTTCATAGCAAATATATAGCAATTTATAACTAGCACATACTTTTCTCTGTCCTGAATCTTCTCTAATCAATTTTCTGATTGATAAATTACAAATATGTTAATGTATTACCATCTTTTTTTTGGTCGAAATAAAAGATTCCAATTATTTCTCAAAATAATACTCGAGAGGCTCATAGCCTAACAAATTCCAAATCACTGTGGAATAAAGCAAATGTCAGAATGCAAATACAAAGCACAGCCTGCAACTAGAAGCACACTCTCATCTCTTAAGAACAGATCTGCCAATGTAAATGTTCGGCGGTTGATCATCATATTCAGTGATGAGCAAACGTCGAGATCCTCCACTATTTTTGCAATGGCTCGCGGTGCGTGCCTATATGTTCCACGTCCTCATCACCATGGCCATGCAGAGATATCAATATCAATATGTTGAAAAAACACATATCAAACACATGTAAAAGAACTCCCGAATCTAGACCAAAATCTAAATCGAGAGAGTAAAACCCCCAGATCTAGACTCTTAGCTAGATGGTTGATTAGATGGTTGTATAACAATCTAATTAAACACGTGCTTAACAACCTAAGTCATCTACAAAATTAAGATCATAGTTCAATGTAAACACATGATACTACCTTGTCCATGACACTCGCGTACATGCATGCACGTCTATCTTTTTCTTCTTTCTTTTTCTTTTTCCCTTTTTTTCATTTTCCAAGATTTAAAACGAAAAATTATAATAACCAAGTTAATGCAAAACAAAAATCTCCATCACCGACGAGTGTCGGTTTTTTTTACTTTATTCTTTTCGTTGCCATTGCCATTGTCACATTCCTTATCTTTTTCTGAATAAAAGAACCCAAACTTGAAAGAGGAAAAGTCGTGGTCGTCACCGACATGCAAGCAACGGATTCCCACGTCCACCTGTAACAAAAAAAATATAGGTTTTACTATTTTTTGGGAGATTTTCCAAATAAATAAATCTTGAATTAATTAGACGAATCCAGATTTTAAGAATTCTTAATACGGAAGATAGTTTATAGAGCAATTTGGGAATTTTCTAAACTTGTTTTTTAAGCCCCTAATTGATCTTGCAGATTTAAATATAAACAAAAAAGGGGAAAACACTTACGATAATCAACGTGTATCCTTTTTGGATGATTTTTTACATAGACATATGATTGAATTTTTTTAAATCGAAGTGAAGTATGGTACGGATATGATCATACCAAAACTTAAGAAAGTGAATTTTGAATAAAGAAAGTAACTTAACTATTCATTACGTCCTCATCTCACATATAAATCGGGCATTTTATCTCAAACATAATGTGGGAATAGTATGAAAAAATTACAAAATTAAGGAAAATGACGTGGATGGAATATGAACTTCTCTTCAATATTCAATACAATTTTTGAACTTTTTTTAATTCAATTTAGTCCATAAATTTTCAAAAATTTGCTCAATTTAATCATTCTGTGCTATATCGCCACATCACGCGAGCTTTTTCGTTGTGGACTGTCGTGTTAGCGTATGTTGAGCCAAAATGTTGATGTGGACCGCCGTGCTGCTTTCCCAAGTGAGCCAATCTTTTTGGCCTTTCCTTTTGTTTATTTTGTTTATATACATACATAGC